TCACATAAACTTGTCCAATACAACAACTCAAAATGACGTGCAATGAGTACGGATCTACAGCGACTAGGTGCTAAAGTGGCAATCGCAAACAACATGCATCTGCAACCGCACACTTATGATGTGAGCCATGCACTCAAAATGTATATCTATACAGTTGGTATTATCCTTGGAAACAATGTAGCAGATATGATCACTATAGAATCCTCGTAATTGCAGGCAGACGGACGCACATGTATTAGGTCTAACCAGACCATCATTGGAAACCTCAGTGCTTTAGCATTGGTACAGCTAAAAATGAAAATACTGCAGTATGTATAAACATTAAAAGACGTATAGAACTAATTTATACCAGGAATGAACGATGCAGATTCGATTTTATTCGATTCTATTAGAAAATAGAATAAAAGACACTCATTATTCTTCAAAAACGGGCGAGTTGTATCGAGTCAATTATTTAAACGAACAATTCGAGAACGTTTTCGTTAAAGTTACTTGTGAAACGTTCACTAATTGGCTACTTGTGCTAACACTTGGCAGATGTGTAATGAGTTTCATTTACCACCACGTGATCCCGTACTGTCTAACCAACGTGACGATCCCGGGCATAATGTATAATAAGCATATTATATGCATTAGAAACACCACCAACAAAATGAAGAGTTACGACTTTAGAGAAATCTTTTGCAATTAATTAGAGCCATTGGCAAATGGTGAAGAAACAGTAGAAAAGTTATTGCTGTGAAAAAACAATGCAAAAAAAATAAAGTAAAAAAATAAATATCCAAGAGATCACCACAAACTCAACCATACAGTAATCCCGAATAACCAAATTTATATATGTTCCAATTCATAAATAATCTTGTTACACAAAAAAAGTTTCAATAACTAGCCCAAAGTAAGTTTTCAAAGAGATTTCGAACATTATTTCACCGTCATTGTGTCATTCTCCAAGCATAGACTGATTTCTGCCGTTGGTGGCGTAGTTAAGGGTAGAGATTCTGTCGTCGACACAGGCGACATTTTACATTTCAATCTAAGGGATTACGCGAGTTTTTCAAATACGTTATATGACTCATAGTTTTGTTTGTTGTTATAATAAAAGGCGGCGGAACGATTTTTTGCATGGGGGTGGAGAGAGATGTGCTCACCAACCCTCGCGCCAAATGCGCGATCTTACTTAGGCGTTTGGGGCATGCCCCTTTTAAAGAGATGAAATATAGACCCTCTAAAAATTTCTGCCTTTTTGAGAAGCAATTTTTGCTGATACAAAGCTGCTTGATTTTGGAGGGACGACGCCCACCAACATTTTTGTTGCTCCCTTTCGCTTAAAGCGGGAGGGTCGTCACCTGAATTGAGTTCCAAGCGACGATAATAACACACGCTAAAACGCAAAGGCTCATGGGTAGACTATTGTTTGTAAACAGTGACACGCTACGGCCATCTGACGCATGCACAGGTGACGACTCCACTGCTTTAATATACATTGTTTGTGATGAATGAGATTTCAGCTTTTGAATTTATTTACCATCTAGTCGCTGTAGGGCGATGTTTACTTAACGTAATTGTAATTACGTTGTTTTGGTGTAGTGCGTTTCGTGGTAGTTAGCGCGTCTGCATGCAGTAGTGAGTCGAATGTCGTGATTGTGAGATCGGATCCTATGTTTCATGTAACATTTGTCTGTTTGTTTACATGTACAATATATTGATTCAATCTAGGGGTTGATTCTGCTGGCCTCCGAGATCAAACGTAACTAAGACATGTTTATTCGAACATTGAATACATAGCTATATTCGCTATATTCGCCTGGCATTCGACAGGTATTCACTGCACGTCATTTCGAACAGCATTCGTTTAACACAGTGAGTGTGGCGTGGCTGTTATCGCGTCTGTCTATAGTGGCGAGCCGAAATGCCGTAATGATGATTTTGAATCCAATGTTTCATGTTGTATTGTTAGATTACTCTTTTTA